CCAACATGGAGTGTGACGGGCCCTAACCCTGGTGGGATGTTGGTCACTGTGACCACCTGTCTAAGAAGGTGAAGGTGGATACAGGAGGACCAGGGCTAATGGCAAGCCCAAGATGAACGGCAGGCTGGCATGGAGGATGGGGAACAATCATCTCATGGAGATGTCACAGCTATGCGGCACCTCATGATACATGGTGTCCACAGGAGACCCAGAGCTTTTCAGCCCTAACTCCATTTCCTGGGGATATGTGAGACGCAGCGTCAGTGTCAGTTACATATGTGCTGGAACACTGCACTAGAACAATGTTAGATGCTGGAACGGACCTGAGGGCTGCAAGAATGTGAGGCTATCCTCTCCCAGTGGCTGTGAAGGTGACAGCTGCTTTGAACTTTTATGCTACTGGCTCCTTCCAGAAAGCAACAGGTGACCTGTGTGGGATCTCTCAGTTGTGCATCCACAAATGCATCAGGACAATGACTGATACCAACAATGCAAGATCACACCAGTTTACCTTTTTTCCGGATGACAAGGTCAGTACTGCAGCCCAGGCAGTAACATTCAGAAACATAGCTGGCTTCCTCCAGCTGCAGGAAGCCATTGACTGTACATACATGGCACTGAGAGGGCCGTATCATAACACTGTGGAACTAATCAACAGGAAGGGGTTCCATTCTACTAATGTCCAAATTATTTTGTGGTCATTATTGCCTCTTCCTGGATGTGTGTGCCCAATAGCCTGGCAGCAACCATGACTCCAACATCCTACAGCAGTCCCACTTGGGTGTGTTTGAAGGTCTAGGGTTCTTATAAGGTTGGTTATTTGGGGACAAGGGCTATCTACTGCATCCATTGCTGATAAACACATTGTGTATGTCCCCGACTGATGCAGAATGAAGAAACAGTGCCAGGCATGCTTTAACCAGGGCCTTAGGGGAGCAGATGATGGGCTGTTAAAGATGTAGTTTCACTGCTTGGACCAGTTGCATGGGGCACCTCCAGTAAATTCTAGACAGAGTATGGTGCATCAGCCTGAATTGTTGTACTCTGCACAATTGAAGCAGACAATAAGGTAATGTGCTGGATGTCAAGGGGGGAATGGGATCAGTCTTCTGAGGTGGAAGTTAAGGACATTTCAGAGGATGAAGCTCTCCCTGTTCATAACAGAGCACAGCTGAGTTTGGTGCTGCAAGCCAGACAGGATATGATTGACATCCAGTTCCAGTAAATGTTGAAAGCTAGATGCAGCAGACTATCATAGAATGCAAATTTCTGTTGGTCTAGCTGTCAGCATTTGGTTTACATGGTGATGAGACCTGTGAGATCATTCATGCATGTACAGACTCTCTGCACAACCACACACTGCTCTCGAGGCAGTTGAGCTGGTGAAAAGTCTGTCACACAGCTCCCTCTGGAACATGCCTACGCAAAAGAAGTCTGGAGAGAGATGCAGTGGTTCTTGTCGAGATTTATCCTGAGCAGCTCCTTGACATTGGACTCAGTGCTCTATGGTTTGTTCCCTGGGACTCACACCAAGACAAACATGGACTGTGCCTGGAAGACCATCAACTCGCTGAAAGATGCTCTTTGGTCTGTCCAATACCTTTTGGTCTTCCAGTGCAAACAGTTGACCTTGATGACTGCTGCAGACTAAAATTAGGGGTTGCCCTTTCAGGACAGAGATGAAGAGAATTTATTTCTGTCAGAGGGTTGTGCAACTTTGGAACTCTGCATCAGGAGCTGGGTAGAGGTGGGGTTATTGAATACTTTTAAGATTACTGAATAGATTCTTTTTATATTAGGGAAACAATGGCAAACAGGGCAAGATGAGAATGTGAAAACTGAAATGCAAACATGTCAGCCATGGTCACATTGAATGGTGGATGGAGAGGGCTGGATGGGATTGAATGATCTACTGCTGCTCCTATTTTTAATGTTCCTATACATCTTAACAGACTTGTATCCTAGTGAATCATCGTGTTGTAATATGTGAGCCCGGTACAAGAGGAGGGGCTAGGTTGAGGAGGTGGGAATCAAGTTCTGAGATGGCTGGAATTCAGTGTCTTGGAATCTAAAATGAGCTAGTTCTTCAGTAAAGTCAGGCCCCGAATGTTTATTACTTCATATTCTTCTAAACATGGCACAGGAGGGCAGCCAAAAATGAAGCAAGTGTCATTGCACATACATCTCCAGCATCAGGATCTGGAAACTGCCAGAATCTGGTCCCTGTTCAACAGACTCAAGCCTCCCTTCAAGATACAATAGTATCCCACTTTTCCTTACTTAAAAATTGATTTTAAACTTCCCTTCCTCTGATGTCATAGGCCACAATTTCATACTGACCCATCAATGATGGGCCCACTTGTGATCACTCTCCTGACAATTCTCACATTGCAATGGACAGGCAGAGATTTTAGCAGTTACAAGACTGACTGGGAAATCCTGCAAGTAGTGGAAACCTCACATACCAGCTACTTGCTTTCAAACTGTGCTGCTGGAGTCACAGCAGGAATTTACCATAACTCCTATGGTAATTTGGGCCTTAGGTATTTGCATACGATTTTGTAGAACAGGAAGGGCCATTTGGTGCTATGGGCCTAGGTCAGTGTTTATGCTCCACAATCTAAACTTTAACTGAATGCAGAACAAAAACATTGAATTGGATGACATCTAGTTAAGAACAGGAGGAATATTCCTCGAGGAAAAAAGATACTGATATTGGGAACAATTTTCAGGCAAAGCCTGATGATAGTTCAACTTTAGTATGTGGAACATTGTCATCTCATGCTATGCTATGATTCTAGCTAGTCTTTTTTGCTTTAGACTCATACTGTCAGAATTTGTACCCATACTTAGCAGGACATATGAACATTTCAAATCACTTGAGTAGGAAATTGTGGAGAATAGCACTGGACCAGTCCAACTTATTACTGGAATTATGCCAGGAAGCTAGCAGAGTTTATCCCAATCTGAGAAAGTTGATGATACCATGAAATTCTGAGTTTCTGGAAATCCTGGGCTAAATAGAACACCGAACAGTCAACAGCATTGCGTCCTCAGTCACAATAGTCATTAACAAAATTATATTCAGCAAATCTGTGACCAGAACTGCTTCACCAATGAGGTCACAACTATGAAACAGACCAAATTTCTCAATTAAAATTATACTTTTTTATTCAACATGTTTTGCAAATTGAATCCACAGACTTATTTTTTTCTGCACTTAGTGAAAGCAAATGTTTCCATAAACATGAAGAACAAAGCAATGAACATCACAAATATAATCATGAAAAAAGTCACATTGCAGAATGCGGAACTCATAAAAGAAAACCAATGTCACTCAAACAGCCCCAGTGAAATTACCTGCATCTATGTGAAATCATACAAAGAAATAGAGCTTGTAAGTTACATAATTGGAAGGAGTTATTACTTCTTTTATAGAATACATGCTCAGTTATGACTTTTCTTTTGTTAATAGCCATTGGCACCTTTATAAAATTGCATGCCTGTTACAGAGCCCCATCTGCTGTGAGTACGGGTCAGAAAGCAGGGTTCCCAATTCTCACTAATTTTCCACAGATTAATTTAAACCCTGATTTATGAACCCTGCAGGCAAGGTTCTATGTCAAATATATGATTCAGTAAATTGTCATTATAATCATTCAATATTTGTGACTTAGACACAAAATGAATATTTATTGTCACATTACATCCTTTAGTTTTTAGGTTGGTAAAAGTTATCAAATTGCAATATAATTTCACCTCGGTTACACCAGCATTGAACTACCTCATCTTTCACCAAACGTAGATCAAAAAAGCATAGGCATCTAGCTGGGGTGGAGGGGTGGTGGAAGGGGTGGTGGTGGGTATGCTTTCTGATATGCAGTAACAGCAACCAAGGCTCCACATTGTAAACACAAACTAGGTATGTTTATCTCCTGGTTTCACTTTTTCTAGAATGCATGTGATATGCCAGTGTTAACCCCTCTGCCCCCATTCCAAAGCTGCAGATCGTGCCATAGAGGGAATTGCTATCCTGTATCGAGTATGAAAAACTGTATTATTTGAGAATTTTGATGAAGTTTCAAATCTTATCGCAAACTTCTTTAAAACTGGCAACAGAAAATAGGTTTTGTTTTCTTCAGCTTCCTCAATCCTATTGAGGACTTAATCTTCTCTTAACTTTGGTAATTCCAGTTGTTTTGGCAGTGCTATATAATTTTTAATTTCAGCTTTAATAAACATAAAACTAAATGAGAACTACTATGTAAGCATGTTAGAGGCACACATCATAATGACAAAAGTTGTATGGAGGTATATGATTGCATTAGGCTCGCATGAAGTCATTTCAATGAAATTTCTGGGTAATCCTGAGGGGACTTAGATAATTCTTGACTGGGGCCCCATTCTTGTCATTTGGAAGATAAGTGCTTTTACAGATAGCATTTGGCCCATGTGATTGCTTGGATTGTTTTTAGTTACATGAAGTTGGTGGAAAGGAATTGTTTTATATAAACAGCTTTGCTTTCCCTGGTTTATGGTTGTCATAGAGTCATACAGCATGGAAACAGACCCTTCGGTCCAACCAGTCAATGCTGCACTAATCCCAAACTAAACTAGTCCCACCTGCCTGCTCCTGGCTCATATCCCTCCAAACCTTTCCTACTCATGAACCTACCTAAGCATCTTTTAAATGTTGTAACTATTCCTGCATCTACCACTTCCTCAGGAACTTCATTAAACATGTGAACCACCCTCTGTGTAAAAGGTTTGCCCCTCATGTCTTTTTTTAAATCTCTCTCCTCTCCCCTTAAAAATATGCTCCCTAATCTTGAAGTACCTATCCCAGGGAAAGACACCTACCATTAACCCTATCTGTACCCCTCATGATTTTATAAATTTCTATAAGGTCATCTCTCAACCTCCTACACTCCAGTGAAAAAGGTCCCAGCCTATCCAACTTTTCTTTATAACTTAAACCTTTCATACCTGACAACATCCTGGTAAATCTCTTCTGAACCTTCTCTAGCTTAATACTATCCTTCCTATAACAGGGTGACAGATTGGACACAGTACTCCAGAAGAGGCCTCACAAGATTACAGCAAATGCAGGGCTCATCGGAGGGGATCGTGCAGGGGTTTGTACATATTTTATCATATTGCTCTGGCCATTATGATGTCAGGGCAACCTTCATTGACTAGCTGGTCTTTATCTTGCTCATCAATTTTGTATGATCACATGACTCAGTAACGAACACTTAGGCTATCCTCTTTCATTGTAAGGAAATAAGCAAAAAGAAACAAACATGCTGCATCTGGAAACAAAAACCATGTAATGTGTTCTAATCAGTCCTGTATCATGTATATACTTACTTGCAGAACTAAAAAATTCCAAAGTAGATGGACCCTGTCCACAAGTAGCAAGTTTCAATGATTTCTTCCTATATTTACTTAAAAGGTGTTTGATTGATACTTGCAGTTCTGAAAGCATAATCTCATCAACTGAACCGGTGAATTATTGGATTTCAGCAACTATTTTTTAAAAATTGATGCTTTGAACAATATAAATTAAATTACAACAAAATAGTGAAAAGCATTGATAGCCAAATAATTTGTCAAGCTGCTGCAGGAAGAATCTTAACACCTGTTATACTTTCACTGGTGACAGATGAATTGTATCTTCTGCTTAAATGTCTAAACATCTGAATATTAAAAGGATGGCCAATATGGTTGCTTTTGTCAATTATGGGTGCATAATGTGGATATTACTGCAAATAATGAAAGAATGTCTGTCTATTTATAGTCAACAACTAGAAACTGTAACCCAAAAATAACCAGACAATTTTAGCTGTAATTTTTTGAATATTTTTGCCTGAATATTTACTCAAAGCGTTCTTCACAATATGTAGTATTTATAGTTCCGGTATTATCAATAATGTCCTACTTTGTAATATCAATAAAATTTGAGATAAAATGCCGAACTTCCAGTGGATCATGAGCTTCAGATTCCTACCCAACTTCTGTCACCAGCAATTTTTGGTGTCTTAGGATAATAATGTATGTAGTGAGTGCATGTACAGCTTGACTGCCCCATGCAGATCTCATTATGAGGGTGGAAATTTTAAACTTGAGCTATCTTCATGGAGTCAAACATATATTGCTTGATGAATTGTTTCATGGTACCTCAGAGGATTCATTAACTATGGCAGGTTCCTAATCTGAAGTCAGAAACTTGCCGACAGATGAGTTCAAAATAATTGGCTATTTCACATATCGTAATGTAATATAATGGTAAGGAGTCAGTTAGCTCTTTTGGTTGGTTTGCAATGCAGAGTGAGATCAGCAATGTGGGTTCAATTCTCACACCAGCCAAGGTTACCTTAAGGACTCTTGTTCTCTACCTCTCCTGTCACCTGAGGCATGGCAATTCTCAGGTTAAACCACCGTTGGTCATCTCGCTCTCTAATAAGAGAGCAACCCTATAATCTGGTAAGACTACGACAACTTTACTTTAAATGTAATGGTGTAGAAGTATGTTTTAACAGTGATTCATTTTAGGGCTTTAGTCTTAGTAGATGAGTTATCATCAAATTGATCAGCATTGTGAAAGTTGTTCAGTTGCATTAGAGTCTGTTATCAAATGAGTTAGGTTCTGTTGAGATTTAAGGTTCACTGTGCAAGTTGGACCCTGCACTTTTCTTTGATTAACGTGACAGTCACCAGTTCGGCATCTGAAGCAATATAACAGCTGAATTATTTAATCATCAGGTTAGTCATGTGCTTAGTCTTAAATGGCCATCTGCTCAACTACCTCAAATGCTTTAAAATATTTAGCTCTGAAAGCTTTATTGACACAGTTGTGCAATGAAATCTCATCATGAATGCCTCATTGAGTTTCAGACCCCACTAATGAATTCAGCTTAATATGATTATTGATAGCTATCAAGGGAAGAGTGAACTTAGTTTTACTTGACAGTTTTATGACATAATAAGATGATTATGTTTTTTGAAGAGAGATTGAGAATGGCTGTTTGGTTATTTTGATAATTTTATGGCCACTTAAAGGGATGAAGCTTTTTTTCAAGTGGAGTTTGAATAACTATGTGTTTATTTTTGACAGTTTCGTGACCATTCCAAAGTCTTCACAATGTTATTATAAAGACTATGAGAGTTCTGCCCATTGTATATACTATTTGAGTGAGCCCGCAAAGATAAGGGGGAGTGTGCGGGGGTGGGGGGCATGTGGATGAGGGAAGAGGGCTGCAAAATTCATTTACAGAACTGAGCTGATGTCCCGGCCGGCCTTCTAACCTCCCCATGGAGCATCTGCATTCTTCCATTCTAGTCTTGGATCTGCTTCAAGAGATGTTGGCCCTAACTTTCAGACTGCCTCCATCATTTCACCATGAAAATAGCATGGACTGCTACTGCAAGCCAAGAGGTCGGACGGTGATACCAAAAGAAAATCTCCAAACTTGCAATTCCTGCCTTGAAGATGAAAATCTGGGTCAGAATCTCCATTCATGGAGCACTTGATCACGTTGCTTAGGTGTCATTCAATACATTTCATGTACAATGGACTGCTTTGAGCTTGTGTTGTAATGTAAGATTTTTCAGATCATTTTCATGTAGCAAGCTCTTATAATCAACAAAGATTGATCTATGCCAACACACTTAAAGAATCCTTCTTCATCTTCAATTAGTGCATGGATTTCACCTGCACATCTGAATCACTTAAGTCAGGGGAAGATCCTCAATTTAACAGCTGTCTTAAAAGTTAGCACTTCCAACAATATAGTTTTCCTTAGGTTACTTACTCATTCTGAAATGGGACTTGAACACACAGGCTTTTGACTTAGGGGGCAAAATGCTTTCAAATTCATTATGTCAAGATAACTTAAAATGTAAGGATCATCTATACAACTTTCTCTTATTTCTGGAGGTCAGTTAGCTCAATTATGGTAGAATGGAACCAATTTTACCACAAACCAAAGACCATCTCCCAAATTTCGATTGCCAGTCCCTAGCAAAGGTTTTGTCTTTTCTATTATCTGCAGTTGACAGGTGGTACATTGAAAGCTATGGATGAGATAAAGGGACACATTTCCTCCATAACACGGGCTGAATTTTTTTGAGAAGTTATATAGTCCCATATTTGAATGAAAGGCAAGACTCAACCTGTCAAGTTGGAATCCTGGCTGGTATTTTGCCATTAGCCACAAAAGAGGTAGAGATGGCCATTGTGTAACCTGCAGGAAGCAGAAGAGGACGTCTCAACGTTGAAGCATCCTCAAAGGCAAGTCAAGCTTTCTTATTTAACTGGGGTCAGTCAAGGAGGGGCTCACCACAAACTGCAACATCATAACCAAAGGTGAAGCTGTTGCGACGGGGCAGCTACAATAAAAGAAGCCTATTGGTCAGAACCAGGGTTTACCTGGCAGTCTTGCCATTTAGCAGCAACCCTCACAAATAATAGTAAAATGCCAGCAGGGTCAGGTAATTGCTGCTAAACAGCCAATTAATTGCCTTAACGAGTCACCTGCTTCTGGTTGGCAGAAACCATTCCACTGTGGTTCACAGGGGGTCTTGTGGTGCCAGTGATAATGTTGCTACCTCTGAGCCAGGAGACCCAGGTTCAAATCCCAGCTGCTCCAAAGTTGTGTAATAAAATCTCAAAATAAGTTGATTAAAAAAAGAGTCTCTGCCGCGTTTCTTGTCCATTGAAATATTCTGCATTGGTAGGAAAGCAGGAGATACCCTTTCCCTACCAAATCCCAAATGCCTTTTGCCACAATTCTCCCAATCCCCAGCACATCTCCAAAGAGCTGGTATAATCTAACCTGTGGAAATCATCCAACCTAAACGTTTCCCTTGATAAGTGGTTCCACTAATTGGAATTTGAAGGGTAACATCAAACAGGGAGAATCTTTGAATAACCAGTTTGTAGCAAATTCCTTAGCCTTCAGGCATAAACAAGGCATTTCACTCTTTTCACACCTAAGAACTTTGACCGTTTTTAATTTATGTAGATAATGTAATGAGGCATTTTCATGTTAATCATGAGTATAATTTGCATATAACTAGCAGAAAAAATCCTTTTTTTTTAAAAATGCTGGTTAAATGTTTCTCTTTGAAACTAAGCATTCTATTCCTTTGAAACAGTGTAGTAGTATTCACGCAGCCTGTGCTCCACAGTGACAAATCCTGGCCGATCATTAGCTCTGGAGAGAAAAGAAGAAGATGCACAATAACTGCATTTTTCAGGAAGTTAACCTGGAAGCAAATTTACACATCAAGCTTTTCTCAATCTGTTACTGGAAGATAGTGCAGATGACATCAAATTACAATATGCATAAGATTTCGGACTAATGGTACTAATTAGTCACACAGCATTTTAATTCTTCCAACATTTTACAGTGATAAACAGTTTTTCTCTTTGGCGGCAGCTGCTGGGGGAAGCAAAAATCAGCTTTCATTATGTCACCTGGAAACGTTTCAGCAACTGTATACAATCTAGTGATGGGTAGATCCAACACTGCAGAACTCAGCTGAGTGTCTTACTCACTGCTGAACAGGAACGGATGTCCCTGATTTTGCCTGATTATGTTTGACTCCATTTATACTACCCACTGCCTTGGGGAAGCAACCAATATAATCAAAGAGATAGTAGGAACTTGCCGATGCTGGACTTTGAGATCACAAGGTGTGGAGCTGGATGAACACAGCAGGCCAGGCAGTGTCAGAGGAACAGGAAAGCTGACGTTTCAAGTCTGGACCCTTCTTCAGAAAACAAAGGGTCCAGAAGGGTCCAGACCTGAAATGTCAGCTTTCCTGCTCCTCTGATGCTGCCTGGCCTGTGTGTTCATCCAGCTCCACACCAACATAATCAAAGACCCTTCCACCCTGCTTATATTCCCTTCCACCCTCTTTCTTTACAGAAGTATTAGAAGTTTGAATGCACATACAAATAGATTCAAGAACAGCTTCTTCCCCACTTATCAGATTTTGAACGGACCGCTCAAATGTTAATTCTGATCTTTCTCTCTGTATCTTCTCTGTGGCTGTAATGCTGTCTTCTGCACTCTATTCTCTTACCCTGATGCACTTTGTTTGGTATGATCTGCCTGTATATCACGCAAAACAACACTTTTCACTGTATCTCGGTACATGTGACAACAATAAGTCAATAAATCCTAACAAACACCTTGGGCTGAATCTTATGATATTTTGGCTAAATATCATTTTCATTGAGTTTCATGAAAGGTTTCTCCCCACAAGGCCTACTGAGTTTTATTGTGCTATCATCCCAAACTTGCCTTATAACATACCATGCCCTTAATATACCTCTCTTATCTGATGCTAGCTGGATTCTATCAATTGCTGCAGTCAGAAGAAATTGCAAAAGCCAGTATACCCTAGAGTCAACCATGATCCTTGGTACTAGCACCATTTTTAAAAGATTGTTGCGCAACTCGACAAGTGCTGACAGTCTGGAGCTGTATTGCGCATTTAGTGACATTTTCCCTGGCAAAGAAGGGGAAATTGGCAGCCTGTTTTGTGGATAGGGACCTGGAGGTCCCAGTGAATAGGACCTCTATTCACTAGGACCTCCAGGTCCCTGTCCACAGAGAGGGGCTATCTTTTAACTCCAGAATTGGGAGTGAAGACCACAGTAGACTACCAGACTCGTTGGAGATTGCCAACCAGGTCGATACAGCCTCAGTCATCTAAAGGAATGCCAACACTGTAGGAAGAAGGTCAATGACCTTCTCTGCTTTTCCAGGGTAAGTGTCACCATCTTATCTTTGCTTCTTCACACTCACTCTATTCTGCTACTACACCAAGGCTCTCACTATTTTGGGCAACATCTTCCCTCACTCACTTTTACACACCTAATACCCCCATGCTATTAACCCTGCTTGGCCAATACACATCCTTCTCACTCACTGGGGGCATCTTACCACCTTTTCCCCAAATGCACAAGTACTAACATCTTTGTCATCCAGCTTCATCTTGTTCAATTTCTCCCTTTCACTCGGTACATAAGGGAACAGCCCATTAAAGGGCAGAAAGAGGTGGTGGGATACCAGACATTTGGCTCCTCACCCCTTATGTGGAAAGGTCCTGATCCTGACTGTCTCAAATGGTTGACTGACTGCTCAAGCTAAAATTCAATGACTGCCCTTGACTTAGTATGTCAGGACTACAGAGCTAAAGGATGTCTCACTTGTCATGACTGAGCAATACTCTACTTATACGTTGAGACATGGCCATTGGGTTGAAGCACATGCAGTGTGTCTGCTGAGTATACTGCTGGCACACAGTCCAGGTGTGACACTGACAGAACATGGTGATGTGCAGCAACATGTCTATCCTATTGATTGCTGACAACCATGGTAATGTGCTTGACTTTGTGTCTGAACTAATAAAAGGCAAGATTAAGTAAGGCTGGGTAAAGCAAAGCAGAGATATGGTGAGAATCCAAGTAGGTAACAGGTTGGAGTGAGTGCTACGAGAACAAGAGAGCTTTCTTGAGATGTAGCCTGGTCCAGCCTGACCTTCAGGTCCAGATAAGAGCTCTTAAATATAATGCAGAAACCGGGGTTATGAGATAGCAAGTACCAACTGGTAGAGTCATTTGAACCATTGGAAATAAATATAGGAAAGGAAATTCTGCCATGCTAGGATGGACCACAGGGAAAGTTAACAAAAGAACATAAGTATCAGGAACATAGTAGGCAAGAAACTAGTTTCTTTAGAAACTGGGAAAGTCAGCTTCCTTTCTCTGTCCCCTTGTTCAAATTTCTATTTTCAACTGGGGTCTGCTTCAAAAAATGTCTACATACAACATAAGAAATAATAGCAGGAGTAGGCCATTCAGCCCTCAAACATGCACTGCTATTCAACAAGATCATAGCTGATCTGCATCAGGCCTTAAATCCTCTTTTGTGCCAGCTTAACATATCTCTCAACTCCCCAGTATTTCAAAAATCTGTTCATCTCCTTTTTAAATACTTTCAGTGATCTAGCCTCCAAAACTCCCTGGGATAGAGATCTCCAGACATTCACTACACTCTGGAAGAAGAAATTCCTTCACATATCAGTTTTAAATAAGTGTCCCCTCATTTGACACTTCCCTACTAGTGGAAACATCTACCCTGTCAAGCCCCCTTGGAATCTTGTACATTTCATTAAGATAATCAAGAAAGCCAATGACTACTGTTCTTTATATCTGGAGGACTGGGGTATGAGGATGCAGACATTATTCTGCAGTTATACAAAATCCTGGTTAGAGCCCACTTGGACTACTGTGAGCAGATCTGGGCACCATACCATGGGAGGATACATTGGTTTTAGAGGGAGTATAAAGTGGTTTAACAAGAATAATCCATGAGAGATTATACAAATTAGGCCTGTAGAATTCTCTAAAATTTAGAAGTTTAAGAGGTGATCTGATTGAAGCCTTCAAGATATCAAACAGGACAACATTGGGTAGATAAACTGTTTCTAATCAAAACCGAAAGAACAGTGGATGCTATAAATCAAGAACAAAAACAAAGTTGCTGGAAAAGCTCAGCAAGTCTGGCAGCATCTGTGAAGGAAAAAACAGAGTTAACATTTCGGATCTGGTGACCCTTCCTCAGAACTGTTTCTAATGTTTGGAGATTATAGATCTCAGGGGCATAGTCTGAGAATTAAGGTCAGACTGTTCAGGGCAGATGATAGGAAATACTTCTGCACGCAAAGGGTGGTGGATGTTTGGAACTCTTCTCCAAAAATGGTTGTGGATTTTAAATCTGAGGCAGATCTTGTTAATTAAAGGTATTATGGGAAATTGGCCAAAGACAGGCTTATGGAGTTAGGCTATAGATTTGCCATGATTTCACTGAATGGTGGAACAAGCTTGAGGGGCTGAATAGCCCACTCCTGTTTCTATAGTTATATAATCCAATTAATTATATGATGTCCTCTTGAATGCCTGAATTGAACCTGTCTGCACCACACTTCCAGGTACCATATGCTAATTACGCACAGAATGAAAAGGTTTTGCTTTAATTCACACTTGCTACTTTTGAAGATTATTTTAAACCTACGCCCTCTTGTCTCTTTTACAAATGGGAACAGTTTCTCCCTAACTACCCTATTCAAGCCACTCATGATTGTACAGACTTCTATCAATCTCCTCTCAGCCTTCTCTCCAAGAAGGAGCCCCAACATTGTCAATCTATCCTCATAACTAAATTCCAAAGAATATTTTATGCTTTCATGAAATAACTCTTGGTGAGGCCAAACAGACAACTCCCACCAGAGACCTTTCTTTCTTGCTATTCCTTAGTTCCATCCAAACTGAGTTGAAATTATGGTCTATTACACCTATAATCACTACTCACCACTGCACTGGTATATTCCTAGATTAACAAAGTTATTTCACCATCTTTAGCTTTTTGCCTATTCTTCCAGAACTTTGATTACTCTTGAATATGGAGTTCCCAGTCATGGTCACCCTGCAACCACATCTCCAAAACAGATATCAAGTCAATACTAGTTATTTCAATTCATACCATCAATGCAGGAATATCTCCATCCCTAATACCATCACAATTCCAGCAGTAGAGGCCATAACACCAGATCATGCCGGCTTGGTCCATGTTTGCCGTCTAGGTTAGGGCAATTTTGCTATGAAGGGATGCCCAGCACTGTAGGAAGAAAATCAATGACCTTCTCCATTCCTTCAGGGTAAGTTCCACCCTCTTCTTTCTAATACCTTACACACTCTCTCTGCTACTGTCCCTACCTCCCGCCAATGCACACGCTCCATTACGGTCACAATTGTCAGCAATATCCTCCCCACTCATGCCAACCCTCAACACCATCGATCCTGCGTGCTCTGTCCACTGTCTATTGACCTACTCAGGACAAGTCCCACCTCTGCAGCAATAGTAACAGCTGTGCTACCTTCTTTCATCTTTAGTAATAACTACTTCTTTTTGATTCCAGGAGAATAACAGCACACAATACGGCAGAAAGAGTAAAGATGGATGTGTGCTGCCCGTCATTCAGCTTCTCACCCCTTATGAGGACAGGATCCTGACTCTACAGCCCCAAGAAGCACCTGAACTGGTATCGGAGGCTGCACTCTACTTACTATGCCAGGATTCCTTAAACAAAGTCTGCTCCCTTGACATTAGCGATATTTATTGACAACTACGACAAGCTTCCTATCTATGTACCTGTACTAAATAGGAAGGAAAGACAGCAGTAACGTGAGCCTGGTATTTCTGGCAAATAGAGCAAAGTGCAAAAAGGCAAGGGCAGGGCAATGCAAGGCAGCGACGCTGTGAGCATCCAGGTAGGCTCAGACTGAGACAACAAGGTGCAGGGCTGGATGAACACAGCAGGCCAAGCAGCATCATAGGAGCAGAGAGGCTGACGTTTCAGGCCTAGACCCTTCATCAGAAAAGGGGGAGGGGAAGGGGGTTCTGAAATAAATAGGGAGAGAGTGGGAGGCGGATAGAGGAGAGGATAGGTGGAGAGGAAACAAACAGGTCGAAGAGGCGGGGATGGAGCCAGTAAAGGTGAGTGTAGGTAGGGAGTTAGGAAGGGGATAGGTCA